CCCCCCCGCCTCGCCCGCGCTCGCCCCCACCCCCGCGGCCCTCGCCGCCGCGCACCACGAGCTGCGCGCGTGAGCCGCGTCCCGACTGACGCGCCAATGTGCGCAGACTCTGTCTCGGTGATAAAGTGATCAATTTCAAGGATTTGGATTTCATATTTAATACATTTGAATCCTTGGTTCTAGCGAATGTTACATATTTGAAGAAACGGGACTTCTTAGTGAAATTAAATCAATATTAGTCCACAGTGCTGCAACTATTCTAATTAATGAGAAATGTTATAAGTGCACTGTGCAGTGTGGTGGATAGAAGAAATAATTTATCATTAAGTTGTTACGAATTCTTATTTTAGCTTGACACGTTCTTATTGCACATAAAAATTGTTATACAATGTTGGATATGTATGTAAATTAATTCGTCTATTACACCGACACCGCTGACAGCAAGTGATTTCGAATCATATCTTTAAATTAGGCTACTTTAATGCTTATACTAAACGAGAGAAGCTCGCTTAACACAGCCCTAAGAGTAGATTATAAATTAATATCTAAATGTTGAGTGTAGCAGGTTTGAATAACAGGAAAAAAATTAAAACACAAGAGACTGTTATAGTGTAAAAATACATCACATCGTTTAGTACTATTTCCGCTTCTAAAAAGGCTTAATAATTAAAAAAAATAACAAGTCCACAAAATAAATAAGAAATAAACTTTTGCTATTGCATAAATGGGTCAGTTAAATAAGGGAAATATTTATGTGAGCATATTGTAGACTTTGTAAAAGAATTCAAGACCCACTCCTTATGCAAAGCTATTATGTAAATTTAAAAAAAAAACGTGAGTTACTAACATCTAACTAACAACTAACATATGGTTGTAAGAAAAACTGACCATAAGAATGTGAGCAATAGCAATTGCTTATTTTACTATAGTTTGTAAGCCTGAATAGATGAAATCATCACAATTAGTCTTCATTTAGATTTGTTGTTAGTAAAAAATTGGATATTATCTAAAATTTAATAAAGTAACAAATAAGGCTTTCAAATATTAGGTAAGCCTATAGCCTTAAATTAAATAGAATCTTACTTTTTGTCGATATTTATTAGCTCTTCATTGATAATTAAATTTTTGTACCAGTTGTTTAGAATCTTTAATAATATTTCTGTGATTTCCAATCTTAGCTAATACTTGTTTGAGATGTTGTGAACATTAAATATTCAAAAATTATTAATTTAGAATATTTTTGACATGGCAACATCTTTTTACATGCAAGTAAATGTGTCAACTTATTTTTTGGTAAAATCATTTTGGTTCTGTTAATTTTATAAACAGAAAAATGATAATAACTATATAAAAGCACCATAAAACTGTGGTACAGTTTTAATTATAAGACTGAACCATTGGTTGACCAAGTGATGCTAGGGGAGGAATAAATGTAATCTTTTAATTTCAATATTTCAAGTTTCTTTAAGATAATTATATAAAATTTTATCTATAAATGAGAGTTTGAAATAATTTGTTAAAGTCAATATTAATACCGAATCTCAGGTTGTAGGAACAAAAATCTTGTGACTTTTTTTGTTGTGAACTTGAATTTGTAACTGTGCAATTAAATTAATTTTGTCTGTGATCTCAAACTGTCATGAGTTGAAGAGTATTGTGAATATTGTCTGATCACAGTCATAGTATTAAAACTAAGTCCTCGCAAACTGCAACATCACCTTTTATTATTAAGATGTTTTAAATTGATTTGAATTATTCCATTGTCTTATATTGTGTATTTGTGGTATGTAGCAACAAAACCAACTTGTCACATAATTTTTTTTTATATCTAACTTCAATTTCAATAAAAATTATGTTAATTTCTTTTCTACATGTTGGTTTGGAAGGATTTTTAGTCGAATGTGTTCTCTGGTATGTTTATTTTGACTACTTTGATTTTTTTTGTATTTTTTGTCACTTACTATTGTATGATTTTATAAAATTAGATTTAAAAAAAATCATTTCAAATTTAAGTTTTGTAACACTTGTCAAAATGTCAATTTGTGGGCTGCTGTTTGTATAAATTAATAACTCAATTACTATTACAGTAGAAATATTTTTTTAGTACTGAATTAATATTTTAAAACAATATATTTATCACAAATTTAAAAGACAAGGGAAGCATCAATGTAAATTGTCATATATTTGTTAAGAGAGAAATAGTTTGATATGAAGAGAGTGTTTTATCTAAAAATGCCTTATTACAATAGGTCTTAAGACTTGATACTGACTTAGCTGTACTTGTTGTTGTCCAATACCAAAGTGATGGTGTGGCAACAACTCTCTAAACTAATTTGTTGCATTTAGTGATTAATAAAATTGCATACTTATTTTAAAACATTTTTATTTTTCAACAAATATCCATCCATCACAAAACATCTTAGTTATTGCTGTTGAGCTTTGCAAATCTCAATAGCTTCATCGATGGCACCTTTTAAAAGAAAAAATATATCAACATTGCATAGCAAAATTAATACTATACCTTTGCAAATGTGTACCATTACAAACTATTTATTCATACTACACTAACTATTGTAATTAAAAAATATACCTCACTACATACTAAAGTAGATTCACAACTACAAAACAACTTTTTCATAAATTTACAGGACCAGTATTTAATCTAACTCACCACACTCTGCGATAACAACTTTCTTAGAGGGTGTTCCATTTCGTGAACCTAAATTTTCCATTTTTTTAACAACATCCATTCCCTCTACTACTGATCCAAATACAACATGCTTGTGGTCCAGCCAAGGTGTGGCTGCAGTTGTAATAAAGAACTGTGATCCATTTGTGTTTGGTCCAGCATTAGCCATAGACAATATACCTGGACCAGTGTGCCTCAGCTTAAAGTTTTCATCCATAAATGTACGACCATAAATTGATTTCCCACCGGTACCATTATGTTTAGTAAAATCACCTCCTTGGCACATAAAGTCAGGAATTATTCTATGGAATGATGAACCTTTGTATCCAAACCCTTTTTCACCTGTACACAAAGCTCTAAAATTCTCAGCTGTTTTAGGGACTTCATCTGCATTAAGTTTCATAACAATGCGCCCAAGTGGCTCTCCATCAGCAGTTACATCAAAGTAAACTTTTTTTTCTTGCTGAGTTGATGCAAAGCGTAGTCCTGCAGCAGAATAGAGTGCGCCATTGATAAAGGTGCGACGTATTATTGATGATAGTGCCATTGCAGCTGACCTAAAATGAAATTTTTAAGGTGATAACACAATCGACATAGTCAAAGACTCGTACGATGAGAAAAATATATTTAATCGCATTAAGCCCAAATGGTGCGGTAAATGGTATGGTTTAAATGTAATTAAATCACGTCGCATAAATACTAATAATTAACCTAACCTAACCTTAATTATTAGGTTGTACGTCGATAGCAAAGATTAGAGTCTAATTAAAATTCTTTTGTATTTTCATTTGAAAATTTGCCAAAGGGACAATGAAGAAGATTTTCCTACAGAGAGTTAACCATCAAATAAATTTTACTTGTACTTAAAGTGTGAGATATTTTTGTAAAGGTTAGGTATAGAACCAATAAAAGTAAATTTTCTCAGTATTTACAAAAAAGACAATATTGAAAATTCTCACTTTCAACCTTCCTTCAGTAATCAGCAGTCCGTCTCTTATTTTCCAAAATATTAAACTTTGAAACCTTCCTTTTTTGCTTTTTT